GTCTCACCATTCTTCTGCTTCTCATCAAATAGAGTGCCGATTGAGATCTCGGTGTCGTCGTCGAAGAAGTTCGTTAGAAACATATCCTCCATGTCGTCCCAACTGCTGATACTCCCCGGCTTGAGGCGACGATACCAATCGAAGGCCGCTCCGCGAAGAGTGCCAACGAATGACCGCACCATTAAGGGTTCATTCCCGGAGATTATTCCTAAGTGAGACTTAAAATATATTAAGTGTTGGGTAGGGGAACCCTTTCCATCAAACGGCGTAAAGTTAATGAGATTGAACTTTGCCGGATATGGAATTGATTCCCACTCCCTCGGATATGGACACGGTATACCTGACCTTTTTAGCGTTGATTTTGCTCTCCAAGTCCTTCATTTTCTTGTCTTCACTCGTATCTGTCTTCGAGTGGTTTCTGGGAGAGGTAACGTGGTCTTCCTTCGCATTATCATCCGAGGGACCGCCTCCGTTATTGTTGTTGACAGGAGGGATAGTTATGTTGACATTATTCTCTTCCCGTTCATTCTCCTCTTGATTCGGATTATTGCGACGACTAGGTTCTCCTTGGTGAGTTGTCAGTACCGCGATTTGCTGGTCATACATCTCTCTCATCTGCTGCATGGCCATCTCCATCTCGAACTTGAAAGCTTCCTTCTGCTTAGTCAAGACATCTTCAAGCATCTTGGTCACTTGTTCGGCACTAATCATAAGCGACTCATAGGGCTGTCCCGCACTAGATGCCGTGCCGTCGGACGCTATAGCCGAGCAGGAATCTGAACCATCATCTGACACCTCTTCTTCCAAAGGAAGTCCCTTTTGCATCCTTTGGTAATTCCTTCGCCTATTGGTCCCCGATCGCAATCGAGTCATACGCTTGTCTCTGCCGGTCATATTAGCAGACACTTCTAGGAATTCGTCCTCTTGGCGGACAGGCTTCTTCCTACGGAAACGTCTTGGCTTGTTCTCAGGTGTTCTGGTAGAGATTCTCTCGAACACCGAAACTCTCCTTGGGGCTTTAGTACAGCAGCATTCTGACAACACCGCCTTGATTATGTTGGCACACGGACAGTGAAAATCCGTGTCTCGAGCATCTCTCTTTCGAGACTTACCCGCACCCCCAGCTCTATAGTACAACTCATCAGTTTGATAACTGGAGCAACCCATAGAGTGTTGGCATGACTTCCCAGGTATAACACAATCATCATCAGACGAATGTGTTTCCCTCTGGGGATATGACGCTTTATTAGCGTTTTCAAAAGTCGCTCGTTCAAGTCTACGCTTTTGCGAGCGTGAAAACTTAACGGGCTCTTGAACTTCGACACACAATCCAATGCGGTCGGTAACAGGGGCTTTCCCTTCGTTATCTTTATTGGGGGGATTAGCACGACCCCCAGTCTGGTTCGTTGTTTGGGGACCTTTCAACGGTCCCAATCGCTCCTTGATAGGTGCTTTGCCTCGATCTTCTGGTAAAGGACCGATGCGACATTTCAAAGGAACCCTGGATCTTGAAGAATCCACGTTCTTACCTGGCTCCGTAGGAGGTGCGGGAGTAGGGGAAATGGGATCTGGATTTGAGGACAACTGGACAATACCTCCGTCCCCTTTTGCCTTAGGTGCTGGCTTCGCCTTTGGCACCCACACTTGCTTGTGTTTTGACGGCTTCTTGACCATCTCTTCTTTTTGCATCTCTTCCGCTTTCTGCAGAAGGACTCGGGCATGCGCAAGCAATGCGTGGCGTTTATTGATTCACTCTTCGAGGGTTGAGCGAGTCCTCTTGACACGAACCCATTCGTTCGTCTCTGTCTTGGAGGAGGAGTTGGTTGATCGCCGTTGTTGCTCCTGGCGCTGTCTTTACTTTAGATCCTCATTGTAGCGGATCCCATCCATCGATTCTGCGGCCTTGGCCAGTTGTCGCGCAAGGCGTTGACGCCGTCTTTGGCGCGCCCTCTTTGACAAGGTTGGAACACCTTCAGCAGTTGACTTCGCGGCGGAAGGGAGATCTGGATCTGCAGCTTCGACCACGTTAGACGCCATTGGAGCGTCGCGGTGAGTAAGTGCAACGGTGGCGAGGGGATCTTGGATCTTCGATCCTGAGGGCCTACGAGCACTCTTGGAAGATGAAATCTTCCTGCGCCTGTTTGGAGAGGCGGATCTAGAAGAGGAGGAAGAGAGGTACTCTTCAAACTTCTGTTGATCGAACTCGTATTCGATCTCTTCGTTCACCCGGATCTTGAAGGCCGGTTGCGTCACGACGGCCTCGGCAGCGAGGCCGTTGGCTCCCACTGTGGTCGCCAGTTTGTTTTCATCGAAAGTTGCCTTCATCATTGATTTCATTAAAACTTCAAACGTTACAAATGAATTCAAACAACAAAGAAATAAAAATTACAACTTTCTTGAAAAATAAACACAAGATCCGTTCGTCGTCTCTTGCTTGCGTGGGTCTTTAGCCTGTGACGGGGATGTCGATATCCGTGGACTACCTGGCAATCAGATCTGATCCAGAGCTTCGTCGATCCGCGAGGAGATCTAGAAACTTGAAGCGCCTATCTCGATAAAAGCGAGATATTTGCTATTCTTAGTATTACCACAACGGGATAATACTAAGGATCGGGTACGGGTGATGTAGATCTGACGAAGGACTCTCTTGCGTTGAAGTGCTCGATCACTCTTCACTCCGGCAGGGCTTCGCCAATTCTCCAAAAATCCAGATCTGAAAAAATAAGGCCTAAGGCTTGTATTTAATAGGCATGAGGGGTTGCGAAGCGGTTAAAACCACTTAAAGGGCCCAAATCCGCGCTGAGACACCCTAGGGGTGTCTTGGCCTGGCTGAGACACCCTTGGGGTGTCTCGGCTACTGTTTTCGCTGTAACTTCTTCGTCTGAACTCGGATTTGAGTGATTCCAAATGCGTTGGAAGTCTGACGAAGAGTTCTATCAGCTCCAATGGTTAGATTATCTGTAGGATGAACGAGACACGCAGGGCATTGTTCCTTTTGTAAACATCGCGTGGTTCTCGATTAGCCTGTGCCTTCGTTATTCCGAAATTCTGTCAGCTCACGTAGTTCGTCGGTTCACTTCAAGCGTTCACCGACATCAGTTGAACTCCTGTGAACCAGATAGTGACGTTCATTATCGTTCCTTAACACTGAGCTGTTCGTGGAGACCTATAGGTAATTTTCGATGCCTACAGCAGCGTTGGAAGCTGCATCTGAGCTGCGTTCGTGGCTATGAACGCTGTGCGTCTTGATGCTGGTACGCGGAGAGGACTTCCACGTCTTGGTTTGAATAGACCGTCGATTTGTAGTCTCTTTCTGTCAGAACGTTGCAAAGATCGTCGTTTTGTAATCTTTGCTTTAGCTCTTTGATATGTGAGAGTCGTCAGATTGTAACTCCCGATGTTGATTGTGGAGGCTGTTGATTAGAGCTTTCATCAGTTGTTGCAAAGGTCGTCAGATTGTAAAATTCATCAGTCTACGTGAAAGTCTTCAAATTGTAACATTCTGGAAGTCGTCAGAGTGTAACTTCCATCATCGGTGTTTTGATGAGGATCAGCTATCTATTGTGATTTTTAGACAGCCTACAGCGGCCATGACTCCCACTTGAATTTGACTTCCTCTAGACCGTTTTAGTCTCTGATACCAGTTATTGGGAAATACCCGGGGCAACACTAAACCCTTTAAACAGCAGGAAACACAATATAGAGAAAAATACACCAAGATTTACGAGGTTCGGCAAACTTGCCTACGTCCTCGGGAGCCACACAATTAATTTCTTATCAATTAACAAGAAATTATAATGCAAGGGCAGATCTCAAACTTAAGATCTCTCAATAAATGCCAATTATCACTATAGCTACAAGTGATAATTCCCTTCTTAAATACCCCTCTTTGATTTTCCCCTTAATAAATTCCCTTTCTTAAATTCCTTCCTCAAAATCATGTGAGCTGAAGGAGAAAGAAGAGAGAGAGAGAGAGAGAAAGCCGCCGGCCCGCTAGAAGAGAAAAAACACGAGAAGGAGGAGGAGAAGCAGCTGGGGGCTAGGGCTCTGGGCTTTACCGCTTTATAGGGGAAAAACGCGCTAAGCGCTGAGTTGTCGACAGGCTGTCGACGGAGCCCAGTGAGAAGCTTGCCTACGCTAGAGGAGATCGCCTGAGAAGTTCTCGAGCATCGGCCTGTGCTCACTTCGGGCCATCGCGCATCCCCCCCCCCCAGAGTCCTTGCGTCGAGCTCAGCACTGGCTTTGGCCGTCGAGCTTCGGCCTGACGTCATTCCTCAGCCCAAAAGCGACCTGGCAGGATCTCGTCGAGACTCGCCTGCGTGTGGGTCGTCGGAGCGTCGTGCCTGACTCGGCGCATGGAATACCCTGTGGGCTTGCCTAGGTTTGGCTCGAATGGAGTGGAGCTCGCCCGCCACGAGCTCGCCTGAAGGTCGCCATCGTCTCAAGCTCGCCTACAGGTTTGGTCTACACTCAAACTAACATTCTCTTCTGTAGCTGTAAAAAATGTATTTTGATTTATGATACTAATGATACATTAAGACGTGAATTCTTAGATCGGTGGGTGTGGAAAATTATGTACTGGCTGATACCCATTTGATGCGTCGTTAGTGTCATGCATTAGAACCTTTGCATACATCCGAGATGCTAACTTATTCATGCGACCAACTTTACGCTAGCGTCCCTTTCTACAAGGTTGGATTAATTATTTCATTTCATCTACACTTACTGTTCCTTCGAGTACTGAAAAATGAGACAAGAAAATGACCAACGAACCGAAACGTTAGGATCCAACCTGAGCCACAACCACAACATCAATTCAAGCCCTGCACAACCTGGGATCCGCCAGCCGCGAACCCTAACTAACCTCACCCGCTACTCTCCAAAAACCAAGTACGACAACATGATTGCTGATTCTCACCAGTAAATAAAACATCCCCTTCCCCAATTCGACACTTTTTCCCTAACCCCGAAAGCAAAATCCCAAGGAGCAGAGAACCTTCTAAAAAAGTGTTGCACAGTGGCCAAGGAAAAAAAAAATTCCCTGACAAGCTACCTGACAACCCAAAAAAGAAGAGGAAAAAACCATACAAGGAAAAAAAAAGAGAGGAGAAAATGAGAATTGGGTGGTTGAGTGTGAGAACCCCTCTCCTCTTCCAATCCAAAATCCTCTGCCTCGCTCTCCTCTATTTGCTTACAACCCTCCCCTTGTCAATCTATGTCTCCTTCTCCCAATCTCGCTGCCTCTTTCAATCTCCACAAATTCATGATAAAAGCTACCTCTTCAATTATCCAAGATCCTATGGACAGCATAAGCATGCTTTGCCGACAGCTCGCTCTTCTTGCGCCTCCCCTGTTCCTTTCTCAGGTGTTGAAAATTTTCATTGAATTCTATAAAATTTTGACCCAATTATGGGTTTATTGATATGGGTTTTTGGTGGTATTATCAGATTACAAGGCGGCTGTACAGGAGATCCATGATCTTTGCAAGAATGCGTCGACATCGAAATCCTCTGCTTCAGGGTATTTGGAGATGTTAGGGGAGAGCTTCGCTGGGAATTTTTCGGTGCAGAAGAGGAAATCTTATTTCGATCAGAGGGGTGATTCGTTGGAGATCCCTTGTGGATTCCTGAAGGAATTTCCTGTCAGGGATTCTGGTTAGTTTCTGCGACGATGATTGTCACTTTTTTCTATTCGCCCATTGTAGTTTTCAGGCTTGTGGATTGATTTAGAAATTCTGGGTTCATGAGGGATGAAGATGACCAATTGGATGTGATTGATTAGTTCGAAGAAATTGGGTTTTCTTTTTTGCTATTTATTATTATTATTATTATTATTATTATTAAGCGAATTAGAGAGACCCATGATTTTATTTCTGATGATCACTTCATAACAAGGAAATTGAATTTTTAATGTGTTTTCTTCATGAAAAGATGTTAACAACTCGGAATGCATTTATTGTATTCTTGTATGAATAAACATATACCTGCCAGCCAACTTTGGAAGATGAGTTTCAAAAGAGAACTTCATAATGCAACATTATTTCTTCTCTTACCGGAAAAGGAGGAATATTATTAAATGCGCGTTTTATTTATTTTTCAAATATATGAGGAATTTTACATTTTAATTCATGTTTTCCTTCTCAGCTTTCATATGATTCTGAATTCAGACAGGTTGGCAATGGCGAGCTGCCGTGGAGTTGTAGTAGCATCCGCAGTCTTTGGTGACCATGACAAAATCAGGCAGCCAAAAGGCTTAGGACCAAAAACACTCGAAACTGTTTGCTTCTTCATGTTCATCGATGAATCAACTCTCAAAGGCCTCAACAATCACAACATTCTCACCGATAAACAAAATGAGAATAATATGCTCGGAGCATGGCGAGTTGTAATACTTCAGAGCAAAAAACTCCCTTACGACAATCCTGCAATGAATGGTGTCATCCCTAAACATTTAATTCACAGGCTATTTCCCAATTCTAAGTTTAGTATATGGTTGGATGCGAAGATTCAGCTTACGGTGGATCCGTTATTGATTCTCCATTCCCTTCTTATATCGAAAGATGTGGATATGGCTATATCGAAGCATCCTTTTAATATGCATACAATGGAGGAGGCAATGGCAACTGCGAGATGGAAGAAATGGGGAGACGTGGACTCTTTGAGGGTGCAAATGGAGACATATTGTGAAAATGGACTTGAGCCCTGGTCACCTAGCAAACTCCCATATACAACAGGTGCACTAAATCAAAGTTTTGTGCGTTCATTTATATCATTGGGATCGAAATACTAATTTTATCAGAATATCTGCATACAAATGGGCTGCTCTGAGTCATTCACAACGAGGATAGGTTCATAGATTTTGACTTGCCTTCTTTAATGTTTCACAACATCACGCTCTCATAAAATGTGTTGTGATAAAATTTCTATTCGTTCTTTGGAAGTTTAGAGAGTTCTCATGTTTATGTGAGCTCAATTTTATCAGTACATATTTTGATCCATGGAGTGCATTTTATCCATCATAAGTATCCCATGTTCTTGAGAAATGATGTGTTTGTTAACGGTTGCAGATGTACCAGACACTGCACTGATAGCAAGGAGGCACACTACAACTAGCAATCTGTTCTCTTGCCTTCTCTTCAATGAATTGGAGGCATTCAACCCAAGGGACCAATTGGCTTTTGCCTATGTGAGGGATCTAATGAACCCCAAGATCAAGGTTAACATGTTCGAGGTGGAGGTCTTCGAGCAAATCACCATAGAGTATCGCCACAATCTCAGACGAGAAGGAGATGGGTCTCAATCAACAAGGAAGAAGACCAGAAGAGCTTCTTCGAGGGACATCAATGGAAGCAGCTGTGAACATTACCTACTAAAGATGTGGGGTGAAATTACTGAGTGAGCTTGGTTTCTTTCTTCTTTTTTTCTTCTTTTCCCTGTTCTTTTTGCACATAGATACAACAAAAGCACATGAAGCCTATGAAGAGAGAGAGAGAGAGAGAGATAAAGAGAGAGAGAGAGAGAGAGAGAGAGAGAGAGAGAGAAAGACTGGGACCAAAACAAATTCAAGGCACCTCCACTTTTTAGAACCTTGAAAGATACCTGATTGCACTCAAAGAGAGGTGGTTACTGGTGAACTCTTGGATTGTTGTGTGGCAAATTGGCCAATTCTTTATTTCATTGTAAGGTGAGCCCTATAGAAGAGGCAAATATTTATTATTATTGTTATTTTTTTTATTGGTCTAATGATTCATCTACAATTTTTTAATGAAAAGTTGCCGTGACCCTTTATTTCTAATCATGCAAATTTTATATTGTCTTTGCCAATTAATTCGGTTCTATTAGAACTTCATTTTGAAGATCTGTAAAGTTTGAAGATGAGCTGTTTAAAGGACACATATTGAAAGAAAATTGAAAAAGAGAGGAAGAATGTATGCTGTATTCTACCAGGAACACTAACAGGATTTTATCTATGGTTAATTGCTGATAGACCCCTGTACTATTGCCCAATTGTGAACAGACCTCCCTGTAGTTTTATTGTTACTGATAGACCCCCGAGTGAAAAACTTTTATCAATGTAATTTTCTCATCTCTGAGGGTAAAAGAATCAGACAAATTTCACTCAGAGTTCTATCTGCAACAATAGAATTACAGAAAGTCTATCCATAATTGGGAGACAACACAGGGTGTCTATTCGCAACTTACTTCTTTTTTCTCTATGCAGAAGGAACTAGTAAGAAAAACTTCATTTGCAATAATTAGTCATGCACAAGTAGCTGACAAAATAAAACTGATTTGAGAAAAATAATGTGGACCAGAAACAAACAATGCACATACATGGAATTTCTTTTGATATATATATATATATATATATATCATTCCATAAGTTTTCAACTAGACTTGTTAGCTTGTTTTGCATTGTGGGCATGCTCAATCTCCTTCTTTAAGTTGTTCACAATCTTCTCAAAAACTTGGAAGTCATGAACGGCATCATATAGTGGTGACCCCTCTTGGACGTTATCAGGCCAATGCAATCGGCTTCTGATGTCTTGAAACTCCTTGTACAATTCTGTGGAGCGGTCTCTATTGCCTTCAATCAAGTGTACAACTGCCTGTAACCAAAAGTTCACATGTTAAATGACTTCTCTAAGGAGAAAGCTACAGGAGGAGAAATTTACCTGATACAGAGGACCCCGAGCATCTGATATCTCTTTATCATTCAAGCATTTACATTTCAATGCATCTTGGTAGTTTCCCTTGCAGAAAAATGGAGTAGAAATTTAGGAATTAACTGTAATTCTGTGATATTTTTGGCCTGTCTAAGTTTATGTTCTTTCTAGCTTGAAAATTGACAATTTCTATTTTGGCTAGATTTCAGACCTAATTAACCTATTAGCATCTTGATGGCATATGTATTAACATGTCATTGCTTGCGAGTTCTATTCTCATGTTATCGAGATCAACAAAAGCTAAATTTATATGAGTATTGCTACATTAATTTTTGTATATATTACAGGTTGGTCATAAACAACTTATATGAACTTTTTTTGGGTAGATAATTAGCTAGTTATTGCATGCCTCTCTACCTTAACTTACGTAAGAGACGATGAATGATTCTTTTACTGGAAAGTACTTGGCGTAGTTCTAGTGATTTTCCCCTCTACAAATAGAATCCTGTAGCTATTGATCTCTCTAAAATTTTCTTAGCCTATCTGTAATTTCTTGATACCCAGTGATTCTAAAACGTCACATTTGTCATAAACTTGAATGCTGAAACATTTATACGAAGTGATTCTGAAGCTAACGTACGCCTGAAACTAACAGCTAAATGCTCTGTCAATCTGTATATATCAGGTACTTACATTTAACTAAATGTAACTAATTGTGTTAACTTAAACAGATGGAATAATTATATACCTTGTAGATTAGCATCTCCACCAGTAACATTTCAAGTTCATAGGCTTCGTGCGGCTTGCCGTCTTTCTCTGCTTCCTTCAAAGCCTTTTGCAGCATCTCCACAGCTTCATCCTCTTTTCCACTCATTTCTAGCTTTGCTGCAGTTCTCTGTGACAGATCAATATTTAAACACTATGAATTCTATTGCCTTAAATTGATTAATTCTTGAGACGCTAACAAGGAAAATTATACCACATTAAATCTATGAAGAAGGGTTTACTGCAATATTTTTAAGAGATCAGATAACTATGATTCCGTTGTTTTGGCATATACTAACATAGCATTTGCTATCTTTGCAGATATAAATTTGAATATGAGTATTGGTCAGATGATTACTCAATATCCTATCCATTAAAGGCAAGGGTTAATGGAGGATACACCCCCTGTACTATCACCTAATTGCATATTGACACCTTATAGTTCTATTATCGCAGATAGACCCCTCGGCTGGATTTCTTTTGGTTCTTCCATCGTCAGATAAAGAGAACTGTTTTTTTTTTAACGAATAGACCTCCTGAGGTTAAAAGAGTTAAAAGAAAAATTCAGCCAAAGGGCCTATCTGCAACAGTAGAACTACTGGGCATCTATCCATGACTGGGCAATAATAAGGGGGGCTGCTTGCAATTACCCAAAAAAACCTGAGTCTGTATCTGATAAAAGATGATGAGGCATCGGACAGATACACTAGTCCAATATTATACTGAAGTTGGTATTAAAATTCATTGATATCTCAGATTATTTCATTTATCAAATATGAGTATGAATAAAAAAGGAACTAATCTTATGTGTATTAATATTCTGGGGATGTGAGATTATCCATATTAGACACAATATTAACATAGTTTACTTTCTGTGTTTGTTTACCGGCAATGCTAAACAAACGAAAAAACTATGACATTCGTGTTAGTGTCCAATCACAATCCAGGAGGCTGGAGAACCCATAGTCAATCTCTAGTTGTCAGGGATTTGTGGTTATATAGTTTGGATCAACATTTTGTTTTTTGTTTATTTATATTAAAATATTTGCTTCGAGTTGTTTCTCTTAAACTTTCTCCACTGCGAACTGTTAAAAGAGTGTAAAATTATAACTCTCAATACTTAAATAACTTTGGAGTTTTAACGCAACGAAGGGGATGTTATGATGATATTTGAACAACTCTTGCACAAATTTTACACAGTGGATGCTAAAACTCGAAGTCAGGTTCAAATCTCCCTGAACATGTATCTAAAAGCATAGGTTTCTATTTATAAGAACAATTCACCCTGCAGGGTTCACACTGAAGCTGGAGGTCTCCTAAGGTTAATTTCGTCACAACTTTAAAGTTTTGATGCAGCCTGAAAGAATGAATTTCCTTGCAGGAACAAAAAGTTGATGACAGATGAAAGAGTTAGACACCCACCTGCAACATGCTAAAACTCAACTGCTCCTCCGCCAGCAACCTCCCAAAATTTCCCACCTCACCCTTCCAGCGCTGCGCTGGTCCGATCCTCGGCCTTGCGAGTCCATGATCCTTCTGAGCGCCATTCTTTGCCACCGCCTGCCAGGCGCAGCCATCGGACATGACGATGGCAGCACGCCTCGGCCTCGGCCTCGGCCTCGGGTGTCCCGCCTGGCGCCGCCCCTCGGCCCCCACTTCCTGTTCCTGTTCTTGTAAGCCAGCGCCAGGCACAGGCACGTGAACAGCAGCGGCCCCGCGTTCGCCGGCCTGGACAGGTGGTGCAGGCACGTGCTGCTCACGTGCCTGGCCCAGTGGAGCGCTGGTTTTTGTTGGGGTTGTTTGGGCTTGGTGTTGTCTGGAGGGTTCATTCTGTTTTGGGTGTTCGTTTAATGGTGGTTTGGGATGAGAGGAGGTCTGGTGATATGATATCGATGATGATGTTATTTGTTGCTTGTAAAAGTGGAAGGAGGGAAGGGATATATGGAGACATGTATGTCATAGGATTTGCTGTGGTTGCAAGAAATGCATCTAGTTCTTTTTGATGTGTAAAAGAGAAGTTTCTCAATGTTGTAGGTAGTAGAATCACTGCTTGCTTCATCTTTTTTCCTTCTTATTGTCCCCCCCAGTTTTTGTTGACTGGGCAACGTAAATCTCATCCCTAGAATGAGCAAGGGTACTGTCTCTACGAAAGAATTTGTCTCCGAGAAAAACGAATGTCCTTTTCCATTTCACGAGTCAAAAATGTCAGTGGACTAGTGTGCTGAGGCATAAAAATGCGCGTCTTAGTTGCATGTTCTCAGAAAATTAATGCCTCCTTTATCCTGTGATTCTTTTTTTTAGTAAAAGGAATTTATCCTGTGATTCTAACCATAGTAGTTAGTAGCTTTTTTTGGGTGAGTCCTGGATCAATTTTGAGTGGTTGCTTATTTTGTCCTAGCTCCAATATGTTTTTGAGTAATTTTTAACCATACTATAAAATTTGTACTGCTTTTGTACTATCACATATAAAAGAGCAAGGTACTCGCTTTTTTTTTTGTTGACAATTTCTAAAAATGACCCGAATCCTTATTAGAGATGGTACAAAAATAGTATAGATTATTCTTATTTTTCTTATACTTGCTAGTGCTTGAGAAGAGATCTCTCTTCATGTCTTTCTCCCTACATGGCTGTATTTACAACATGTATGGAAAGACTTTCCATGATGACGAACAAAATGTACATGACGAGATTTTCAAATAAAACCTGTCTTAATGATCGATTGCAACAAATCACTACAATCTTAGAAGATAATATATGCTCAGATCAATTGCTTAATTTTATGAGCTAAATGATATTGATGAAATCATGAAGAAATCTTGTCAATGGATATAAGGGGTCTTTTTTAACCTCAGAAACCACCTTAAAAATAAGGCAATTATATGAAAGTCACCTTTCAAATTCAATTATACACAAACCACCTTAAAGTCGGTTTTTATCGCAATCAACCACCTCTGTAGGCTATCAAAAAAAAAAATCACAATAGATAGCTGATCCCCATCAAAACACCGATGATGGAAGTTACAATCTGACGACTTCCAGAAGGCTACAATTTGAAGACTTTCACGTAGATCGCTGAAGGTTACAATCTGACGACTCTCATATTCTCAAGGAGCCAAGACGAAGATTACAAGACAATGATCTTTGCAACGCTTCGACAGAAAGAGACTACAAATCAATGGTCTCTTCAAACCAAGACGTGGAAGTCCTCCCCACGTACCAGCATCAAGATGCGCCACGTTCATAGCCACGAACGCAGCTCAAATGCAGCTCCAAAAGTTGCAAACGCAGCTTAAATCACCACTGGACGCAGCTCAACATCGCTGCCCGACGCAGCTCAACATCGCTGCCCGACGCAGCTCAACATCGCTGCACAACGCAGCTCAATATCGCTGCACAACGCAGCTCTATTCGTCGCCCGACGCTGCTCAACACAGCTCCAAGCGCTGCCCAACGCAGCTCTATATCGCTGCCAAACGCAGCTTTCATCCGCTGCAAACGCAGCTTCCAATCACTGCGTTCAAGCTTCCAGACACTGCCAGAATGCAGGATCTGCGTTTGACTCGTTCAAACACGAGTTGAACGGTTCCAAAACCGTTTCCCACGATCTGAGGGGATCACAACTCCACTCAGGAGTGATTTAAGGGGCGGTTACATCCCATTAGCCCCACTTAGGAGCGAATTAAGGAGGTGGTTACACCCCTTAATCCCCTATAAATAACAACAAACTCAACAGAGTTAAGGATCGGATTTTTGATAATCAGATCGAGGAGTTGGATCGGTTGGAGCTTTTGAGATCGGCAACAAGATCTTCTTCATCCTTGGCTTATAACCGACTTTCGGTTAAATCAACTCTTTCATAGAGTTTTAAACTCGTTCAGAGTTCTCCACAACGTCAAATCGTGAGGAGAAGACCACATTCCAGTGAAACAAGCCATCGGATCGTCAACGGAGAGCAAGGGGACAAGCTTCTCTGACGAAGAAGTGGTGGCGCAATCCGACGTTCATCTTACTGGAACAACCGTCGAAACTCTCATGGTTGAGTTTGATCAAGCCAAGTTTGAGGAGGCTCTCTCATCCGGATCCCTTAGCCCCAAGGCTATGCGCAAGATCCACAAAGTCTCCAAGGAGACTAAATCTCCAATTGTTTCTCCTATGCCGAAGGAAGCCTTCTCCTTCAACCAAGAATGCTCGAACAGCCCCTCCTCCGAAGGAGTGGGCTCAGCTTCGGCCAAACTCGTCCACCGAGTTGAAGGCTCTGCGTTCATGCCAAAGCGACGTTTCTCGGGTCACGAAAGGCCCATAACAGCGACCAACTCTGTCGACGACATCGCTGCAAAGGCCTTAAAACAGGCCAACAAGAACGCCGCTCGACGAAGAAGAAGATCTCGACGACAAGTACAACTTCGAGAAAATCGATCCTCCAACCAACGCGAGCCTCGCGTTCGTAAGCCTAAACGCAACCATGCGCTCTGCGTTTCTGTTTCAGAATGCAAGTCTCGCGTCTAAGAGCCCAAACATGGGCTCTGTGTGAAGAAGACTGAACGCAACCCTCAGGGGCGCATTCCACAAAATGAACGCAACCCTCAGGGGTGCGTTCCACAAAATAAACGCAACTCTCAAATATGCGTTTCATCAGCAAAACCTGAAGCTCAGGCATGCGTTCAGTTGACGAAATCCAATATGGAACCTGGCCTTCTCCGTGGAGCGCGACTAGATTGAGGGGCGGATGTCAAAAGTCCATGGATTCAAGGCATCTACAGCGAGACCCCCGAATACTCTGCGTAGCGCGACTAGATTAAGGGGCGGATGTCAAAAGTCCATGGATTTAAGGCATCTTAACCAGATCCATGTTCACCAAGAGCCAGTCCTGTCCAATCGTAGACTGGGGGTTCCAGTTCAAACCTCACAATCAGTGAGTGCGTCGGCCATGAAGAACGCGACCCTCATGTCGCCAAACCAAAACGCGACCCTCGCGTTTCAAGTGCCCAACATGACCTTCGCGTCTCAGGTGCCAAACACGACCTTCGCGTCTCAGGTGCAAAACGCGACCCTCGCGTCCCAAGTTCCAAATCCAATACCGCGCCTGGTGTATATCGTGGAGCTTCGGGGCGCTGCCCCGAACCCCGCCGGGGGGTATACCATCCCCCCCGGACCCCCTGGCCAGGGGCGCGCCGCCCCCTGGACCCCCGATGGATTCAAGGCATCTCAACCAGATCCATATTCACCAAGAGCCAGTCCTGTCCAATCATGGACTGGGGGTTCCAGTTCAAACCTCACAATCAGTGAGTAATTCTCCTCGAATCTTTATAACAGATTCGAGAGAGTTCACATCGAGAGAAAGATCGATGCAACAAGTCATTCGTTCATTTCAATGTGAACGACTGATTCCTACGGTCCTCTCGGAACGCCAATGCTGCTCATATGCGGCCCAACTGCTGGTGTTCAACCAATTTACGAACGTGCGGCCCAACTGCTGGTGTTCAACCAATCTACGGACGTTGCTTTACTCAACCAACGACGGCGTTCACACAAGAAGAAGACTTCTGAGGATGAATACCTGAGAGTCACTTCTAACATGATCGGCAGAGGGAGATCATCAGTTCCTAGTTCCGATGAGTCAGAGAACGATCAGTCTCCTGGCTTGAAAGACTTCCTGAATAAGTCTGAGGGAGTTTATCAACATACTCGGACGCGAACAGGAGCCATTCCCCCCGTCAACTATCGGAGTTTAGCCAGGGGAACCAATTCCAATGATGAACACTCAGCCATTGCAGAGTCCCAGTCATCAAGCTCTTTTGTTGAACATGAGAGCTACGCTTATATGACGGGAAACCATGAAGATCTCGCGAAGAGACTTGATGAGCAGGAGGCCATGCTCAAATCTCAGCAAGAGGCCATCAATGAACTCCTGGCCCTGTTGACTCAACTCGTCGCAGACAAGGCCAAATCTCAGAAGACAGATTCGCCACTCAGGCAAGAATCTTCCCGAAGGGAAAGAACGTCTTCGTCCCGACCTCACACAAGCAAAGGGAAGGGAAAAATGGTTGATGACACGGCTTCTGACCAAGAAGCCCACAACCTGGAATCTTCCTCTGATGAAGGAAGAGAGACGGAGTATGAGCAAAATCCTCAGTCGGCTAAAATCGAGGAATTGGAAGCCCGCCTCAATGTCATTGCTAACAGAAGCGAGCTCCAAGATGAGGGAGTTGTCAGGCCCTACCCTGCCGAATGGGACGCAGCCCCTTATCCTCCAAAATTTGAAGTCCCGACGCTACAAGCTTTTGACGGCACGGGATCACCGAACCAACATATCTATCATTTCAAGTCACAGACTGGGAATGTAATATCAAACGATGCCATACTGGCTCGATTGTTCATTGGCACCCTTAAGGGAGTTGCCTTTGAATGGTTCAGGAAACTACCTGCCGGATGTATCCAAAGGTGGGCAGATTTAGAGAGACTCTTCCTGTCAAGATTTTTTGAAAAGGATACAGAAGTCTTCATCCATACCCTTCTCGCTACTAAGCAGAAGAAAAGGGAGTCCGTCAAAGCCTTCGTTAAAAGGTTCCGAACCATGGCTCTCC